GGACACAGATTGTGGCCTCCTTTGGGCTGGTGGGGGTTCAGAGCCCAACAGGAGCTCCCAGGCAGGGCTAGGCTGATGGGGTGGTCTGCTGCTCTGGCCTATTTCTGGGACTCCATCGGCTGGTTCCCAGCTCTTTCCAGTGGGGCAGAGTCGAGAGGGGACAGAGACCCCAGTGCCCCAATCCAGCGGGCCCAGGGGCAGGCAGCAGGCGTCTTGGTGTTAAGCTCTGGCCTCTGCATTCCCACCTCCTCCTCCCTACCCCAGTGCAGCTGCCAGCTGGATCTTCTGTGGTACTGCACACCTTGTTTTGCCCGGGAACTTGCAAATGGCCTCAAGCCCAGACCCCATGGGCTTTCATTTAAGTCCCAGTTTTCCCTAACTTCCTCCTCTCACCTGGATTGTTTCCCCCTCATCACCACCACACAGTTTATCTTTGAGTGTAAACTCCTGATCTTCCTCAGGATCATCTTTCTGATCTCTGACCAGCCAAACCTGCCCACCCCTCAAAGTATAGCTAAAATTCCACTCCCTCCCCAAGCTGCATAACCCCTTATGTGTTCTAGTACTCTCAGTTTGATGCTATCTGAGTGGAGTCTTCTCAACAGAAGTTTAAATAAGTTAGTTTAAATAAATTTAACAGTTTATATATGTTAGTCCCTTTTTAATGAGAACGGGCAGAGCCTGTAATCCCAGCATTCACTTGAGTGTGGGAGTTTAAGACTAGCCTGGACAACACAGGGAGGCTATCTCAAAATAAAAGTGGAAACAAATGAGGAAGCAAATCCTTTGCCAGGCCATGTATCCCAGTTTATGAATTGAAAAATGTCTCTTCCCTGATAACTCCCCTTCCTGTGCCTTGTGTCTCTTACTAGATGGTTACTCAAAACTTCTAAATCTTTTGAAATTGTGCTGGGGAAAACTCAAATGTTTGGATAAAATGGAAGTATACTAGAGGCTGGGGCTGGGGCTCAGTGGTAGAGCACTGGCCTAGCATGTGTGCAAGGTGCTGGGTTCAATCCTCAGCATCACATACAAATAAATAAATAAAATAAAGGTACTGTGGGGCTGGGGTTATGGCTCAGTGGTACAGTGCTCACCTGTCATGCATGGGGCACTGGGTTTGATCCTCAGTACCACATAAATATAAAATAAAGATATTGTGTCCACTTTAAAAAAACTAAAAAATAAATATTTAAAAAATAAAATAAAGGTATTATGTCCAACTACAAGTAAAAAATATTTAAATGGAAATATAACAAATATTTTTGTACTCTTTATAAATACAAAATCACTTTTTTAGTGTACAATAAAAATATACTATACACAATTTGGTTTAGGTTCAGATTAGCACAAATTGATGTGATAGAAAAAAGAAAATCAACTTTTTTGTGTTTGTTGTGTATTAGTTGAGTAAACTTAGGCAGAAGTCTTTGGACTTCTCTGGAGATGCAGTTTCCTCATGTTGGATTTGGAACTAGGGATAATAAATATACCTCCCATCTACTTTACAAGATTATGGAAAAGATCAAATGTGAAATGGAATTAAAATTTACTTTTAAGTATGTGTTTAAGAAACAACCCTCAATACATTTCCTGATGAAAATTACTTTTTTAATATTTATTTTTTAGTTTTAGGTGGACATAATATCTTTTATTTTTTATTTTTGTGTGGTGCTGAGAATTGAACCCAGTGCCTCGCGCATGCTAGGCGAGCGCGCTACCACTTGAGCCACATCCCCAGCCCCAAAAATTACTTTTAAATATTTTAAATTTTGTTCAACGTGCTGAATGACCATTAAAAAAAAAAAAATCAAGTAGGGGCTGCGGTTGTAGCTCAATGATAGAGCACTTACTTAGCATGTGTGAGGGACTGGTTTCCATCCTCAGTACCACATAAAATTTTTTTTTAAGTATTTTTAAAAATCAAGCAATTCTGAGGCTGGAGTTGTAGCTCAGAGGTAGAGCACTCGCCTAGCATGAGTGAGGCACTGGGTTCGAGCCTCAGCACCACATAAAGTAAAATAAAGACATTGTGTCCACCTATAACTAAAAAATAAATATTAAAAAAAATCAAGCAATTCTGAATCTTTGCCAGTTTGTGAAGAAAGGGGAAAGAAAGGTGTGGGGTCAGAAAAATCCCAAGCAAGCAACTCAAAGGCTGAGGCAGGAGGATTGTGAGTTCAAAACCAGCCTCAGCAAAAGTGAGGCACTAAGCAACTAAGTGAGACCCTGTCTCTGAATAAAATATAAAATAGGGCTGGGGATGTGGCTCAGTGGTCAAGTGCTCCTGAGTTCAATCCCCCCACTGCCAAAAAAGAGGAAAATCCCAAGCAAGTACCCTAGCATAACCCATAAGGGGAGACAAGTGTCAAGTAGAATTGTGCACACAAGCCATCATCTCAGCCACTCTGACCATCATTCTCATGGGTAAAGTATGAATACTAACAGTAATAACAACTGACAATTACTGGGCATTCTCTGTGGGCCACATACGATGTACGATTTCAAGCATATTACACACATATATCAAGCCACTTAATCCCCACTATGATAGTCCTCATGGGAGGGAGGGACTATCCGTGTCTATTTTGTGAGTAAGGAAACTGAAACACAGAGAAATTTTATTATTTACCTAGGACAGCCCTGTAGCAAGTGGGGAAGCCCAGGACCAATCCCAAACAATCAGATTCTGTGTTCTTAAATGTGCAAGCCATCTAACTCCCTATGGGGTTATTGTGAAGATTATATGAAATGATGTACATAAAGCACTCAGAGTAGTCCCAAGTGCACAGCACTATGATTAGCACTTCATTGTAAGGTATAAGGGTGGTGAGGCCTGTGGGTCTTAAGCCCTGGCATGAAGGAGATCCTCTAGAATTGGTTCCCTTCCCCATAGACATCATCAGAAAACAGAACATGTTCCATGGTTCAAGCAGATGTGGAAATGCTCCTATATGAATGTTTATCCTGAGGGTAAGAGATTGGCCCAACCTGTTGAATATACCTTTCCTACAGACAACCTTATGTTACTACTCTCAGTTTCTGTTTTTCTTAATGCTTTCTTTGTATTGTCTTTATGGTCTTCTAGAGAAAAAGTAAGGGTTCCTTGGGTTGGGAGAAGCCAGAGCCTAATGTCTGAGAAGATAGAACTGGCATGAAATGTTGCCAGTATGTATTAAGTTCTCTAAAGTCCTTTCACCTTAGTTCACTGTGGCAAGGCATACCTGCAAAGCCAGGGACTAGTAAGATGTCTTTCCATGGCTGCCTCTTCTTGGGTCTCAACCCTGTTTGACTATCCGGGTTCACCCCATTCACACATCTGCCCATACATACATATTCCCATAATCTGTATTCCACTCTCACATATGAATACAATTACTCCTTCACAGCCACAGTCACTTGCCCAAACCAGGCATACCTCTGTGGCAAGGACCATCTACACACAACGCAAAACACATAGTTACCTTTCTTTACTCTCTTAGAGCCCATGTGAAAAAAGGGGAACGAAAGGTTTGGGGTCAGGTAAAGAGTTCCTAGGTGTTGAACACTGGACTAGGTACTTAGGCATCATTTGGCCACAAAATTGCACACCCACATCTGTTTTCCAGTACATAAGAACTTCACATGTATGTTTTTGCATGCCCCTTATTTGTATAACTACTTGTAATGTTCCAATGACATGACCCTTAAATTCATTCTTTATATTCGAACCCCTCACATTACCTGGGTATGTTTAGAATAGCCTCTGTTTTGCTTTCTCCATTTTCTGTTTGGTTGCTCTAGCACCCTAAAGGCAGACTTAACCTAAAGGTGACAGGGTTATGAGGTTTGTGAAACAGCACAATTTTGAAGACAGATCCAGCGGATTATTACATTTCTGTTCAAAACCGACTTTGGGGCTGGGGTTGTGGCTCAGTGGTAGTGTGCTCGCCTGGCATGTATGAGGCACTGGGTTCAATTCTCACCACCACATAAAAATAAAGACAATAAAGTCCACCAACAACTAAAAAAAAAAAAAAAAACCCACCGACTTTGTGTGACTTTTCTCTTGTAGGGAAAGCACTCAATTTCTCCAAGAATGGGTAGGAGAAGGTGAAGTGGGGCAGGTGAGCAGGAGTGACTTTAGTAGGTCAGGTTGCTCAGTTGCTCAAAGACTGTGGACTGCATATAGACTTTCCCTGATCAGGAAGCAAACAAAGAATAGCGTGACTCCACTCACTCAGCCCTAAGTCCAGCCAGGAGCACCCTGGAGTACCCAGGGATGTCACCTGAGTCTGGCATCCTCTTGGGCACAACTGTATGGCAATGGCCTGGATTTTTAGGTCCAGCTCTCCCTTTTTGGTTCATTCCAACCTCCTACCTCTTCCCCAGGGCCCTGTTCTTTCTCTTTCAAAGCCAACCCTCAAGCAAAGATGTGAAATTTCTTGGAGGATACCAAAGGGAAAACTTCAAAATTCAAGAGCACTGCTGAATTTCCAGGACACTGAAAAGAACAAATTGGGCTGGGAAGGGCAATCCAGGATGTATTTAGAAGGTAACAAACAGAAGGCCCATGCCCATACCAGGTGGAGAGGGCAATCACTTTCTGGAGCAGCCAGGGGAGGCAGCCATCCTCACCATTCCTGCAGACCCCAGGCTTCCTCCACAGTGGCTATGGGCATCTGGAGGCAGTTGAACGGCAGAGGGCATGGGCTGACTGGTATAGTTACCTGAGCCATCTCTGTGAGGGATCTGGGGATAAAAATTTCAATGACCCCTATTTCTAAAGGGAATAGGCCTTAGTTTCATGACTGCTGAAAGAACAAGCCATCTTCAATACCTGGGAGGCTGGAAGCAGGAGGGAGCTACCAAAGGAGGGTGCCAGAAAGCATCCAAACCAAGAATAAGCACTTTATCAACTCCCAACCTATCCCCAAGAAATCTGAAAATGAGTACATTCTCCTACATAAAAGCAAGATCAGAGATTCATCTTGCTGGAGACAATCAGGAAGGAGAAGATGTTAAAGAGATAGGAACTTTATTGAAATATTCTCCCTGGTAAAGTCAGAATCTAAAGGTCACTGGAAAGGGTCAGCCCCTATTCCTTCACAAATATTCACAGGGACCCCTCTTGGGGAATCTCTGGGTCCCAAGTTTCCCCAGTTCCCAGCCCCATCATCTTTAAGAGTCAGAATCCTCCACGGAGCTGGGCAAAGAACGGGCACTTAGAACCTGTGTTGATTGATCAACAGGCCTGTGGGCAGTCAAGGAAAGGTAAGGCAGACAGCGAGGAGAGGAACAGAATGGAGAGAAAGAAGAAAAAAGAAAAGGAAAATAGATGGAGAAAAGAAAAATCCAAAAGTGGGAGGACACACTGATAATATAGCCCCCCCAAAATACTAATACTGCATGAACTGATTAGCTTCATCCCCCCCTGCTTCCCCAAATTATGGTGACATCACAGCTAAAAAAAGGCCCATATAGTCCTGAACTTTTTATTTCCCTGACTGCATTAAGAAAAAAAAACAGATTCACCAAAAGCAACCAACAGGGATGAGCAGTGTGAAAGAGACAGGCAGGAGGGATAGTCTTCCAAGAGGATAAGTGGTTTGGAAGTGAGGCCAAGGGGTTGGGGTTGTTCATTTGGGGGAGAAGAAAAGTCCAAGGACAGATTGCAACTCATCTGCCCCAGCTACCAGGCTTCATGGATGTCCCTTACAGAACTCGCTTTTCTTTTCCAGTTGGCTTGCTCCTTGAAACAGTGTCCTGGTGGGTTTGGAGGCTCTGGCTGTCCGTGAGAGGATCTGGGTCCTCCATAAAGTCCAAAGCAGCAGCCTCTCTTGCAGCAGGCATGGGACTGCTCCAAATTCTGAGCAATACTAAATCAAATTGGGGTTCTTTCTGGACCCCATCTGATCACCAATCTACTTACATTTCCTAATCAACCTTTTTCTCAAAATTTCCTTCTGATCCAGATGACTACTCAGTGCTGGTGGGTCCTGACCCAGGACAGGATTAAGGACCCAAGGATAGCTTGCTCCCAAGAGGAGTGGCCAGATGTGTCCTTCAAAAGGAGCCTTTCAAGGCAGGCCTGGGCTATCCCTGTATGCATATATCTCACAGTACATGCTCCCTTCAAAGGGCACTTATCCATTGGGTCTCTGTGCCCCTCCGAGGGGACAGTGCTTGCCGACCATGCAGGACTCTCATGATGAGTTCTTTCTCTGTGGCCTCAGGTTTGTCATCTTCCTGACCTCTCTTGGATGATGTACACACATATCCACACTCACTGGTGTTTGAAAGCCCTGGATGTCCTGTGGTACAGTCCACAGCTATCCATGTCAAGGACAGGTGGACGCTAAACCCTAAGCTTCAGTTGCCACTGATGCCAGATGGCTGGTGCTGGTTCTCATCGTAGGAAGTTTCTCTGGTTTAAGTGTTGGTATATCAGGGAATGGAGAAGAAAAGAAAGGAAAAGCCATAGTAATGGGAAAACTGAAGAAACAACTTTTCTGCCAAGTGCTTCCACAAAGAAATTGTGGAACAGCCTCTTCCTAAATTTGGGAGAGGCTGACTGCCCAGCAAAGTCCCTAAGGACAAGGAACAAAGTCTCCATTGTCCACTCTGAAACCCAACACCTTTGGGATCTGAGTTTTCCAAGACATGCAATAGACAAAGACACACTGCAAACCAATTAACCCTCTGAGCCCTTCCAGTACCCTCACTTAAGTTACATCCAAGAGGGAACAGCCTGAGGCCACCACCCACTCACCACCTCTTGGGGCCAGTGATGGGTCTGATCTCCCCAGCTGGGACATCACAGAAATGGCATTTGGGAGGCAGATCCTCACCCTGACCTAGGCACTCTTGTTCTCTCTCAGTGTTATGGAGAAACAGTGAAGAGGTACTTGGGACAGGCTCAAAATTCAGGTAAATTTAGATCCAAGAGGCTATCTGCCTTTGAAAGTCAGCCCAAGCTTGGGAGAGAGTAGAGGAGGTTTGGGGAACAAACAGAAGACCGTGTGTGGAAGGAGCCAACATGGACCTGAGAGCCCTCTTCACTCAGGCTGTGTTTAGCTTATTTGACCCTCATTTAGTATACACTAGAATTTAGCTGCTCTCTGTCCCTTCAAGACAGGACCCAGGAAAAGCAAGTAGAGCCTGATTTGCCCCAATCAGGCCTCCTAACTGAAGCAACAAGAAAAGCACACTATAATTCACAGTTTCCGCTCTCCTTCCTAGACCCACACACCTTCACCTACCACAGGCCTCAACAAAACTCCCAAATCTCCAGTGTGTACTGATTCTCACCAGTGTGGCTCAAAGGGTTAATAAACCAGGACTTCTCAGACAGGACACAAGCTCATTCACCAACAGGGACCCAAGAAGAGCTACACACTATCTAGTGCTTCTTGTAGCGATTCTTTGGGGTTTCACTACACCCTGTTTTGTCACAGTTGAGAGCACCTGGATTCTTCCCCAACCCGAGGCTACCCAGGAGGCTGGGAAGCTCCTGGGTGATGGCCCGCTCTATCTTCTCCAGAAAGCAACCTCCCATGTAGGAGCACTGCTGAGAAAGGAGTTTGAAATTGGAAATGGGGTTGATGCCAAAAAAGTCCTTGTAGGCCTCTCGGTTGGGAAGGTCAAACTTGCTAACATTGGTCTTTGCCAGGATGGTCTTAAAGATGTAGAATTTATCAGGATCTTCCACAATGTCCTTAAAGACCAGTTCTCCATCACTGAAGAAGGTCATTTTGTCCTTGTAAGTCTGCAGATAGCGGTCAACCAAGAGGGCATGAATGCGGACCCGAATGGCATGTTGGCGGATGAAAGCGATCTTGTTCTCCAACCTGTTTTCAATCACCTGGTTCAGGTCTTCTAGAAGGGAGATCTCTTCTTTGAGGAACAGTTCCCGGTGAGTGTCAGGTTTATAGTCTTGTGGCCAGAAGGAGCTGACATAAACCCTTGGAGGCTCTGTGACATTTATGAGAGGGGCCAAGCTCCAGAAGAGGGCCCCATACACTCGCATGAGCATCTGTGTGGCCAGGTTGTCAGCCTTGTTCAGGATGATCCTTATCTGAGACTCACGTCCCTTCAGCTGGCGAAAGAGCATCTCCAGCTCCAGACCCACATCCAGCTTGGTGGGGTCAAAGACAACAAAGATGAGGTCGGCTCTATCGATGAACCACTGGCACACATCGTTGAAGGGGTATCCTTGAGGAGACAGAGTGAGAAGTCAAGCTGGTGGAGCTCATGCAAAGCCCCGCATACCTCCCTTCAGAACCAAATCATTCTGTGGGCTGAAAGTTCATGCTCTAGGGATTTTCTGAGTTTCTAAAGACTACTAAAGAATTAAGTGCATATCTCCTGCTCTTTGTCAATCTCTAACCAAGAACAGCCTGATCCTTCCTTTCATCTACAGTGGAATCCAAGTCTCTAAGGAATTAAAATACTTGTTCAAAGTGGAGATTTTCCAACTGTCTAAAAAAATCTAGGGCAATGGAAAAACTGTTAAGGAAGTCAGGGAATTGGAAGAACGTGATAGAGGATGCAAGATCTAGGAGAAAGAAATCAGGATCCAGTGTTAAGACTGACAGAATTTGGGCTTTGCCACTGGACAGCTGGATAGCAAATGCTCCTAAGCTCTAGCTCCTTACCTACAATACAAGAAAAGCAGTAACTTCAAAACTGATGAGAAGATTATTATACTGTGATGAACAGGAAAGCACAGAATCGAAGCTGCCAGTCATATAGTGGTGCCCAATATATTTTAACTCCTTTTGCTTCTTATTTCCTCGATTTTCTTAATTACAAATGAGATGAGGAATACCTATCTTGAAAACATTGCATTTTTAAAATTTTTATTAGTCATTGATGGACCTTTACTCATTTATTTGTTTATATGTGGTGCTGAGAATCTAACCCAGTGCCTCACACATGCTAGGCAAGCGTGCTACCCATGAGCCACAACCCCAGCCCTGCATTTTTTTTTTTTACAATGACCAACCAATAATGCATAAAATTATGCAGTGTATATAATTGGATATACATTGGGGGTACAATAAGGTTAATTTACTTTTATAATTGTGAGTGATAATATCATCACCAATAAAACAGGATCTAGTTATAACCCAAATGATGGTCATAACCATAAACTTAAATCAGGCATCTGGTCACATGTTTCTACAACTGCCCTGTTTAGGACTCATCAATGCAGATAGGCCAGTGTCACGACAGTACATAGTAGCCTATGCCATGGCCTCAGGCTTGCCAGGCCCAAAGTGGTGTTCCCCTGACACCTGAAGGCAAGCAGGATCCTAGAAAGTCTGATAAAAGCTTAGACAGAAGCAGAACTGAGTACACAGAAACTGGGAGTTAGGAAGACTCGAACGTCAGGTGCAACCCAGAGCAAGCCCAGGAGCCCCAGGCCCAGTTTAGCCAGAAATTAAATATACCTGACTGGGATCTGATTAGTCCAGGCCCTTGACTACCCAGGACAGACTGGGCCTCCCAAAGACGAGTCAGTCATAGCATAGATCTCTTGGAGCTCTTGCAGAGAAAACTAGTTCTCCTTCTGGGAAAATAATGACCATCTTCAAACCAAATCAGTCCTTGGGGAGGTAGGAAGATGAGGCACTCCAAAACCCAGTGGCACCCCAGTGACAAGGAGAAGAAGGTGGAAGTAAAAAATGCATCTCCTGGTCTTTGGCAACACTGGCCAAACTTCCTTCTCAAGTAATTTTCTAAGACAGAGCTCTTGCTATTCAAAAATGGGTGCTAAATTACCTCTTTCTTGTTGTTTGCGATTCTCAATGATGCCTGGTGTATCCACAAAAGTGACCCGCTCCAGAAGTTTGTGAGGAACCTCAATACCAATCAGCTTCTCCAGAAAATTCTGGCCAAACTTTTCGAGGGGCGAGAAGGACCGGGAACTGTCAGCAGCCATGACAATGCCCTCGATGGTTTTCAGCTTGGGCCCATGCATCAGTACCGTGAACTCGGATGTGGTGGGCTCAGCACCTACATGCAGGGTGAGATTGCAGGAAAACAGTCATCTCTGAGAAACAGATGGCTGCAAAGAAGGTGAATGAGCAAGACTTTTCAGGGAGGGTTTGCCACAAGGGCAGGACATGTTTGCCAAGCTACTTGTTTCTTTCTTTCTTTCTTTCCTAATGGCATTAGCACATTTACATTGTAGTGCAACCATCACCACCATTTCCAGAACTTTTTCAATATTCCCAAATGGAAACTCTGTGTCCATTAAACAGTAACTCCCTTTTCTCCTTCCTCACAACTCCTAGCAACCACTATTCTACTTTCTCTACAAATTTTCCTACTGTTGGTACCTCATATGAGTGGAATCATACAATATTTGACCTTTGGTTTCTTGTTTCTCTCACTTAGCATATTACTTTCAAGCTTCATCAAGGTTAGAGCATCTGTCAGATGTATCTGATACATTCTCATAGCACAATCATCCCTTTCCAAGGCCAAGTGACATTCCATTATATGAACAAACCACATTTTGACTGTCCATTTACCCATCAGTGGACTTGTGGATTATTTCCACTTTTTGGCTACTTTAAATAATGCTGCTATGAACACTGGTGTAGCTACCAGTGTCCTGTATGTATTTTTAATTATTATTGAAGACTATATAAATGTTTTAATCTTTCATAGTACTTTTACATACGACATTCAAATACTAACAATCACATAAAAAAAAATCTCTTACCTGTATAGAGCTGGTAGCGAGTGTTTTCTAACCCAAGAAGGTAGTTTATCATGGTGGATTTACCAACGCTCCATGGTCCCAGGAATAGCACCATTGGCTTGGAAGTGATCTCCCCATCTGTAGACAACAGGGATGAGAAATGGAAGTGAAAGAACAATCGCTCTTACTGTAGGGGTGACACTGTTCTCTAAAGCACTCTGCATCCCTGACCATCATCCAACTGAACTGAGGGATTCTGTGTGCACTGGTTCTGTGCAGCCATCAGTGGCACTTCTCTTGCTCTGTAAATGCAATCACTTATTTAAAAGAAGTTATTGTGTTGACCTTGCCCAGATCCTTGGCATATCTGCCCGCACCAGAAGGAGGAGCTAAGTGAATTCCACAAGCACTGGTTTAGTGCTTACTCTGGGAGAACAGTTCATAAAAAAGGAAGGAAAGAGCTTCTACAAGGAGAGAAGTTACAACTGTAACCCAAATTGATAACAGAGAAAGAAAGGACATGGAAGAAACTTATACAATCTGGGACCATCTGAATTCTGGACCTGCCTTGTCCCCAGCTCTACAGTTTTCTTCATTGGCTCCCCAAATCCTCACCTTAGGCTTAACTCAACCCTGGGCTCTAGGGCCAGTCTCTACTATTAGTGTCCAAATTCCATTACAGATTTGCCTTTGTCCAAGACCAAACACTGAACAGGGTATATTAGGGTTCTAGGGCCCTGTGTACAAGGACCTTCTAGAGTCCATGCTAGGGAGCATAAAAAGCAAAGATGGTGTAGCTCAGGGTAGAGCACTTGCCTATCCTATGTGAGGATCTGAGTTCCATCCCCAGTACCACACACACAACAGGGAGGGGAGGGTGAGAGGCTTTTGACATGAGATGCAGTCAGTCCCACTGCTGATTTGCAGGCCTCCTCAGTACCTCTCTCAGTTTTTCTCTGAATAATCAGTCCTACATAATTAAGTCTCCAGATGTCTCTGTCTCCCTGAGCTTGCATAGAATACTAAAATCCTCCTTTTTATTTCTTTCATTTATTCTTATATTTTTATTTAAGTCCTTGGCTCAAAAATCAGAAGTATAAAAAGATACACAATGAAAAAAACCTCCATCCCTATCCCCAATCTCCCTGGGCCACAACACTATCTCTAATAGGTAACCACTGCTCAATGTCTTTTTTTTTTTTTTTTGGAGACAGGGGTCTCAGTATATTGCTCAGGCTGGTCTCAAACTCTTAGTAGCTGGAACTACAGACATGTGCCACTGTTTCTGATGCCACTGCTAATTTCTAACATATTTTTTTCCGCTATCTCAATGCATATATAGCAGTGTTTATCTATATCATGTTCCCCTCTGTCTTTTTACAGTACTTCCTCTTCTGCACCTGGATGTTTTATGCACTGGTTTTCTTTCTCTGGAGTGAAGCTAAGTCCTAGAAGATTATGTCTTATGAATGCAGGCACATATACATGGCCTGGAAGGGATACCATGGTCATACCCCTTCCCTCCCTGCCTGTAAATACACAGAGGTCCCCATCTGGCTGGGGCAGGCAGGGAGGTGACAGGTATTCCCAGTTATAGCCATAGAGACTTCACAAAAGTCTCTTTACCCAGGCCCTGAGGTGGAGGTGGGGGTGGGGGTGAGGGAGGCCAAGGCGGGCCCTGCAGATCTGCAGGTTCTGAGACAGACCCCAGACAAGGTTCTGCTGTTCCTACTCTCAACAGCAGGGGGGCATCACGGGCATGTGTGGGAGAGACCAGCAAAGAGTGCCAGAGACAGGAGGTCATGCAGGAAACTGGCGAGGGACTTGGGGAGAAGAGCCAAGTTCAGAAAGTGAGACTAGGAGCCAGCAACATACGCCCTCCCTCCAGAGCACCATTCCTGGGACAACCGGCAGCCTCCTGGCCTCTGCTGCTTTCAAGATTGGGGTTTCCTGGGAGTGCCACACCATTCTTGGTGTCAAGGCTGGAGAGAAGGTAAGTGTGGAGGACAGAGCAGAGCCACTAGGAGACTGTAACCTCACACCAAGGTCTCTATGTTCTCTGTGAAAGAGAAGAGCACTACTTAGGATTGTGAGAAGAAGTATGGGAAGCTATAGAACAGGGTTTCCCCTGGGAGAAGATACAGAGTCTCCATCCTAATCCCATGTGTGTGACCCAGGAAACACAGTGCTTCCTAGGCATTGGGTTCCTCTTCTGTAAAACAATAATATACACCCGATAATACCCTATCTACTATATAGCTATTTGAGAGAATCAAGTGAGATAACACAGGAAGACATTTGCAATATCACAATTAAAACAGCAATAGGGCTGGGGTGTAGCTTAGTGGTAGAGCACTTGTCTACTATGCTCAGGGCCCTGGGTTCCATCACCAGCACCACAAAGATGAGTAACACTAAAAATGGCATGGCTGCGGGGAAATAAGTTCGCTCATCTACTGTTCTTTACCAATTGGTATAGTCAAAGGAAATTTGGCAACAAGTATCAAAATGTTTAATTCAGTATTGCACTTTTTAAAAAAACATCTTACGAGTACACTTACATAAAATATGATTATGGTAATGCCTGGAACATTTTTTAAAATGGAAAATGAAAAGCACCCCATGTCCATCAGGAGGATACTGGTTATACAAAACATGAGAGGACCAAGAAAGGACCAAGCAGGCACCAGAAAGAAGAGGGATCTACACACACACACACACACACACACGGCACAATACACCCCATTTGTGTAAAAGAAAGACAGACTTCTCTATACTCATGTTTGCAGAGGAAATGTCTGGAAGCATTCATGAGAGACTACAACAGGGCATCTTTGGGAATGGAACTGGAGGAGTGAGAGATCAAGAAAGGAAGTGTTTCCCCCCCGCCCAATTTATACTATTATGTACTATTTAAAAACAATTTTTTATAAGAAGTAGGCCTCATATTTATCATTTTCACCAGTCCAACACAAGCCACCTGGTAAGAATGACAGGTAGGAAGGGAGGTATACAGGCCAATCAGAGGACTCAGACATGATCCACAAGTGAATTGGAAGCCCTGGAGGGCTCATGAACACAGGAGCAATAGAAGCTCCCTGACCAGGCATCACCGTCCCAGAAATCAAAATCTGTGCTACTGAGACATAAATGCTTAACAATGAAATGCTATCTATCAATGCTTTGTACACTATCTATCACTCCTCCTGGACATGGGTGCTTCACAGGACTAAGGTCCCTGTCTTGCCCAATTCTCAGGAGAGCTCAGCCCCTGGTGTACTTGAACATAGCACGTATGGAACTTGTGAAATGTGTAGGCACTGGCAATAGTCAGGATGGTTCAGAGGTGTGGCCCCCACTCTGGGCCATGCTGTACCTGTGATCTCATGCTGCCGAAGCTCATTGTATTTGTAAGACTGCTCCAGGGGCTTGATGGATGAATGGTAGATCTTTCGAAGCCGCTGCAGCACCGCTGGGGGCAAAGAGGGGTAAGAGGAGACTATCAGGCTAGGTGGACTCTAGGCAGCTCCTTCACTGTGGGGTGACCTCATACCCTAGGCAGTTCTGTCTGGTGGGGAGCACGGTCATTGGCAACCCAAGAGAGTGTGTGATATGCTCACTTTTGTGGAGGGAACTAGTCCACATCCCAATGTCTGAAGGCAAAAGCATTCTCCTACTTACCCAGCAAAGCCTCCTGAGTTCTTTTTTTAAACTTAACTTTTTTCTCCCTCCTACCTCAACAGTGTATCTGGAAACACTAGCTCAGCCTACAGCCCAACTGAAGGTCCTCTCCTTGAAAAATGAGAATTCCATTTATTTTATATCTCTGCTGCCTGCCTCTGCTTGTGCTGCCCTAGACCCAGAGGTCAAAGAGGCCAGGTGCCCAGCAGGCCCACAGCACAGCTACCCAAGCCCTTGCCTACCGCACCCCCAGTGCCCCTGGTTGGACCCAGTCATCCCTAGGTGTCTTCCTGGGAGAGTGAGCTCAGGAACCAAGAAACAAGCTAGAGAGGCTCTAGCCCTCACTCTGCTCCTCTCTGGCTGTGCACCAAGAACAAATTGCTGCCTTGCTCTGACCTTGGCTAGCTCATCAGTTAAGATGGGACAAGCCCTACTTAAATTCTCAGGTTATTATGATGATGAAATGAAACACTGGATTGGAAAGAGCCTTGTAAACTAAAAGTCAAAACAAATGAGTTGAGTTCTTATTAACTATCCTCTCTGCCAGAGCACAGACGTGGGCATATTCTATGGAGGCGGCCCTGGGATTTGCCGTTGGCCCTTGTGGTAGTTGCTCAGCTTGGATTGCCTCCCTACCAACCTGGAGGCTCCGGTGTTGGTTCTGCTCATGGAGATGCCTCACATAGCACCGCCCCCCCTTCCCAGGTTTCTTCTCTTCCTTGTGGTCCCTTCTGGCTTCAGAGTGACAGCCGTGAGGCTCTATTGCTCCCAGACTCTGCCTGGCTGCTGGCCACAGGGCTGGTCTGTCTCCCTCTCTTCTCTGGTTACCTGAGTAATCATCAGCTGGCTTGTCCTCATTCAGCATCAGGGTGGTCTCGATGTGGGAGCGGTCCCTCATTGGGGCTTCTTCACTCACATCCTCCGTTTCTTCTGAGGGAAGAAGCAGACAACAGGGTCAGGGTAAAGTAGGCCAGCTGAGCTCTAAGCTCCAGAGAGAGGGACCAGGGCTGGGCCTCAAACAGGTGCTGAACAAGTTGCCAGGTTGAACTGAACTGAGTTCTGCCTTTAGGATAGAATTAGAAAATCCAAATTTAAATTCGAAGTATTGAGATCCATTTTATTTACTGAACACCTATTACATGCCCAGCACCTAGTGTCATGCTGGGAATGCAGTGGTGCCCACGGGGAGCTTTCCCACAGTCTAGTGGGAGATAAATGATGAATAGTCTTTAAAATATGTAATAATTAAGAACAGTAAGGAAGCTATGAGATAAAGAATCCTGGCAGCTAAGGGCCTAGGGCTGTGCCTACAGCCTTAGCAGGGAGTCAGAGGAGTCTCCCTTGAGGTCTGCAGCTAAGAAGGGGTTAATTAGTAAAGAGAGAGGAGTTTCTATGAAGGACCATATAGGAATTGTTTAGCAAGATGCAGAGAAGCGGTCTATAGCCGGTCACAGAGAAGGGGAACTGGGTGCTGGGGAGCTGAAGAGGTCCACAGGGGCCTTAAAGGCCACCATGGGGGTTTGCATTTCATTCAAGGCAGCGGGAGCCATTCAGACAACTGACAGAACAAATGAGTTATCAGGATCACACTGGCAGGAGAATGGGTAGAAGGCCACTGCCGTGTCTGGGGTGTGTGTGTGTGTGTGTGTGTGTGTGTGTGTGTGTTTAGGGTCCAGGTCCCTCTGGACCCTAAGCAAAAAACAGATGGCCATGCCCACCACCAGCTAGCTCCAGGGCACAGGCTGCTCACCTCCCTAGGCCTCTAAGGTCACAACCTTTTTAGCCAGGCCACCTGCTCAGAGGGTCTCAGATTAGGAGCAGGTAGACTTGGATCTGTGGGGCAGAGGGAGACCAGTATCCATATGCGTCATGCAGTATCTGAGTTCAAACCCATGCGTCTCCAGAAGGGAAGACAGGGAATAGGGAGGTGCTTACTGCTTGCAGGCCCACCACTTACAGAGAATATAAGCACTTGACAGAGTATATACATTAAGTTCTGCAAGGAAACCTGTGTGAAGCTGTCTGGGAAAGTGAACACCTGACCCCAACCTCCACCCCGAAAGCCCAGCTTCTGTTCTACTCGCGGTCATGGGGAATGAGGACTGAGGATCCTGAGGGTCCTAGCATCACTGCCCAATAGCTTCGTCCCTGCCCTATGCCCTCCCTTCCTATTCCTTAGTCCTTTGAGGGCTACTCTACTCCAGGTGGATGTTTCAGGGACATCAGTGGCCATAGTCAGCCCAAGTTCTCATTCTGTGATCCTGGCCTCTTGGTCACAGTTCCCATTCCTCCTACAGGAGGTGTTCAAGTGGAGACCCAGGAACTAGTTCACAAGGCGATCACTTAGTGGTTCCCAACCGCCCTCCAACTCCCTGCACATTGCTTCACCAGCCGGACTTGGGGCCTCATTCCCTGCCATCAGTCCTCTTATGCCTTGTCCTCAAGGCACTGGTCCATCTAGCAACCCTAAAGGAGGGGTTCAGAGAGCCAGACTCAGAAATGGCCAAGTCCCTCTGGACCTTCTTGCTCAGTCCCCCCACACTGGAGAAGACAGAGGATACCTCCCCAGGCTGGTACCCCGAACAGGCCCTACCTGGCAAACCCACAACTACCTAGGGACTCTCCCACATATCCCATCCCTGATTGTCCTGTCCTATACAAGACTTCCATGAAGAATGGAACTGCCCAAGGTTCTGGGGTTGCCTTAAGGAATCAATTCCTACCCTGAGGAGCAATTACAGGATTCCCCCTCCCCTGATGTCCCTCTTCCGGCTCTTCTGCATCAGAGTCCTGGGCCTCACCACCCTCAGACCCTGTATTTAATTCCTCTGTGCCAAGCTGGGCCCCTTCCTGCCCAGAGTTCGTGGCTCCTGTTGCTTCCTGGGGCTCCCCAGACTCCTGGGAGGTGCCCCCCTCCTCTTCTGAGCTAGCCCCATCGCCACTGTCTTCTCCAGACTCTTCTTTGGATGGAACTCCTCCTTCTTCCTCACTTTCACCTTCTTCACCACCCTCTTCTTCAGAGGAGGTCTCATCTGGCTCCTCCTCAGGCATCCCTGGTGCCCAGCCCTCAGGGGGAAGGTCTTCCTGGGTCTCCCCAGTGCTGGAGCTCTGGGCACCCCCAGACTCTTCACTGGCCTCTATGGCTAGGCCAGCCTCCTGGCTGAGGCTGGGTTCCCCCAGGTTCTTGGACCCCTCCCCGGCTTCTGTGTCCGGTTCAGCCTCCAACTCTACTCCCATAGGTGTGGCCACAGGGATTCCATCTAGCTCTGCTGGTGGGTGGTCAGGCTCTGGGATGCCCTCGCCTTCTGCCTCCAGGGCATCATCGGCCTGGGGCTGTGGCTGGTCCTCAGCCCCCTTCCCGGCTTCTGTGTCGTTGTCATTCTCTGACTCTTCTCCAGCAGATGTGGTGATGGGGGCTCCATTTGGCTCTACCAGCTGGTGATCAGGCCCTGGGCTGCCCTTGCCTTCTGCCTCTGGGGTGTGGACCTCTTTATCCTCTTCCCTAGGAGAGGCCCCCAAGGCTTCAGGCTCTGTCACCCCTGATACTGCTCCCTGCATGGAGCTGTCTCCTGGGACTCCCCTGGCTTCCTTGTCACTCTCCTCCTGTCCTTCTGCCTCCCCACTGGAAGTTCCCAAAGTGGGGTGCCCCAGCCCAGCCTCTTCCTCTCCTGGTCCCTCTCCCAAACTGAGCTCTGGTCTCTCCTCTTCCACGGGACCCTCATCCCCTCCTGGAAGGAGGGTGCCTGCCACTGGTGGCCCCTTCTCTTCCTCCCCAGTCCCTGTAGCATCCCCAGGTAGAGCTGACTCTGAGGCTGAGGCATTGGAGAGGCTGGCTTCTGGCTCGGGGCCTGGGCCAGTGTCAGCAGGAGGGGCCCCGGTGGCGGTCTGCTCCGAGCTCTCAGCCTCCCTGTGGTCTGGGTAGTGAAGGAGCAGATTCTTGTCTCCAGGGGCCGCATCTGCATTAAGCGCCCTTTCTTTTTCCTCTAGACTTGCGTCTCCAGCAGAGAAATGATTCTCCAACAAATTGCCAACATCTTCTGTGCCACCCGAAGCAGGGACTTGCAGTTCTAAATGATTAGAACATGATTGGTCAGTTCACGGGGTTGGCACTTGCTCTGCTTCTCAAGAGTCTACAAGAATCTAGCTCCCGCTGACGGGAATATGGTGTGTGCCTGGTATGCAGGGTTATGCCTCCCTCCCCAGGTTGTCATGATCACCTACCTCTATCCCAAGATGTTAGTGGACTGACCCATCGTCCATCACTAAGTGAGTTAGATGATATACTACCCCAAGAGCCCCAAAGACCTATCCCTGACCTTCGAGTCCCCATTAGGTCCTGATGATTACAATGGTTGGAAACTTGGGTGAGCCCTTACAGTCCTTCTTCAACCTTGCTGACAGGCACGTGCCACCTGGCTCACGAGGAGACACTTCCAAGATAGGACAATGTTTGTACATTCCACCCCTGGTCAGTTCCTAGAGTCATTAACCAGCATGCTTTTTATACTGCTATCAGCAAAGGGGTGAAAACAGGTGTTTGCAGGCCAGATAATCTTAGGTTACATGGCAAAGTACTTAGGGGATTACTTGTGGCTCTCAACCTTATTAAGTCACACATCTAACTCTGTCCCCTTAATGGCAGGCATTTGCTGGCCTCACTACCTTAGATTAGAGGGGACAGGGACTAAAGAGGAGATATCCAAAACAGGCAGGCCTGGGCTTCCCAGTGGCCTCAGCCAACCCCTTCTAAGGGGATCCCCTTCTAAGGGCCTGTAGCTTTACCCAGAGAGGGAGGGCATAAGAGGGAGCAGGAGAGAGCATACAGGAGCCCAGTCTGTGCCAGAGACTGCTGCCAAAGGTCAAGTTTAATAATTTTGGAAAATGGGGTGGGAAGCAAGGGTTGGGCCTATTCCTTTTGCCCCTCCTGCCCAGACTGAGATCTGTTTAAAGAGGAGGCCCCACCATAGGAGGACAGTGCAGGCTTATGGGGATCAGGGGACTGCATATAACTCACCTTGAGGTGGCTGAGACAACCCCAATTCCCTTGACTCTCAAGGCCTCTTTCTCCCCACCCCTCTGCTGGGTATAGTCACCCTTCTCTCATCTCAGGCCAAGCCTGGTGCTCCCATCTCTGTGTCCCATAAAGAAAAGTCTTTCAGCCTCAGAGTACCCTCTCCCTGGTTCTCAGAAAGCTGGGGCAGCCTTCAGGGTCAGGAAGGGAGATTTTCTCATTAGTCCCTTTATGCAGCCTACATGAAATTCAGAAGGATGGAAAGCTTTGGGATTTTTTATAACAAAGGAGCCCTATACTAATACATAAAGTTTTCTGCAAGCACTTTCACAAACATGACCACATTTAACTTCCTTCATTACTGCCAGACAAATTTTAGGGCCAAATTAGTAGATGGTCTTTGACCTGCCCCAGACATGTGGCTACCAGGTGACTAAGGGGTAAAAAACCCAGAACTGCCAACTCCTGGTCTGTGATATATTCAGCGGGCACAGGAAACCCCTTTCCAGAGTGACTTCAGTCCCTTCCTGAAGGTGCCTTCCCTCTTGGTTCATGCTCCAGACTGCTCATGGATGGCAGGAACCATGTCTTAATTCTGTACTCCCAGGTCACAGGCTGACCCATAGAAAGTGCTAAAAGAGGTTACATACAGGTACAAGTAAGATCCCTTAGTTGGTGGCGGTGGTGGTGGGCGGATAGGGTGGGATGCTAGATGTTACTCATTTAAATTTTCTTTCATAGCAAGATGTGGTAGCCCACGCCTGCAAATCCCAGTTACTCAGGAGACTGAGGCATGAGGATTGCAAGTGCAAGGTCATAGTCAATTTCACAAGACCCTGTCTCAAAATAAAATACTTTAAAATGGGGGCTTGTTGGGTAATTGCTCAGTGGTAAAGTGCTTGCCTAGCATGTGTGAGGC